GGACCGAATAATACAAACACGGTCCGTACGCGCCGCCGTCGTAATCGATTTGTCAGAGTACACGTCGTCGTCGTGTCGTATGAAAAAAACCGATTATCCCGTGTTATTATTATTATACTTTTATTACGATATTATACCAGGTACCTATTTCGTTTCGTCGACCGTTAACGGTTTACGCGTCGTATATCCCTGTATTACACTGTCTATCGCGCACACACATACACACACAACACGGAACCGCATTCCTCTAATTATCATACAATATATACGTAATATAATAGTAATAGTAGTAGTAGTAGTAATAGTAATAGTAATAATCGATATTCGAACGCGCGGTTGACCGTGCGGTGTAGTGCGTGGTCTGGTGCTGGATGTGTGTGTGTGTGTGTGTGTGTGCGTGTGTGCGTATGGCGTTCGGGGGTCAAACGAGTTATGATTCCGTGTGAGGTCTCGCGGACCCCCGCCACCACCCTCGTCAACGGTCACCGTGGCGGCTGCGGCGGCCGACAATTGCCCCGAAAAGTCCCGTGTGCGCGCGCGCCTGTGTGTGTATGTGTGTGTGTGTGTGTGGGAACACGCTTAGGCGGTGGTGGAGTTTGACAGGTTACAACTAGCTCCAGCGGTTAATGATGATGTTATATAGCGCCACAAGGACGATACGCGCGATGTGTGATTCGGCAGTACCAGTGGTTTTCGTATACAAGCGTCTTCTATAAAGGTATAAATACCCTCGCCGTGAGGAGGTTTAAATGAACGCGCGCGCGCCCGTACGACAATAATACACAAAACAGAACAATTACAGCCTGGAAGGTCGCGGTCGTCATCTCCGAATGTTATTTTTTTATTAATTTCTTCGACCCGAGAGTGACAGCAGCGGCACCGGCGGTGGCGGTGGCGGCTTGTTTATAATGACGATTTAATAACGCGCCCGTTTATACTGTCGCCGCCACAACACTCTTGAACGTGAGAATGCGCCCGGGCGGGCTGCCTCTATCAATCCTCCACCGCCGGTTAGGTCTTTAACCTAACCGGTGATGCTGACCGTTGTTGTGGTGTCCACGAAAATATGTCGAAACGTGTTTTTGCAACGGGCTCGCGGATATTTCGGACGATATTTTCGGAATCCTTTCGGTTATAAGCGGCAGCTGTGTTGACAATGACACTCGAAATATTCCGAAATCCATTTAATCCGATTTGCGTTATGCTGTGCGGTACACATTTATAAATGTATATGTGTATGTGTTCATATAGCCGCGTAATCCTATTGGTCCGTATAAATGGCCATCCGATAAACCTATTTACGTGAGACGTGTCGTCGAAAGAATTAAAAGTTCCACTCGCGGTGTTGTCGTTAACGACAAATGTTTAATTGAATTTATTTCAAAACGCGAATTGACCTAGTGTCATTGAATGTAAAATTTAGACGTATCCTATGTGTACATAGGTACATGAATATAAGATTACATAAGACTATATAGTGATCGTTTTAAGGATGAATTTTTCTCATGCGAAAATTTGCCAAGAAACAGCAATCTATATTTATACGTATTGCATCATATGCCACAGCTCACGAAAAATAGTATTTTATAACGAAGAAATATATATATATATATATATGAATAAATATGATAAATATCCAATATGAAATGCCAAACAATGTATAGATAATGTTAAGTGTTAAGTGCTGTACTTGTACATTTTTATTAATAATTTTCACATTTCAGTTTTCCATAAAATATTATGCGTGGATAATCAATCACGGGTTATGAGACATCGTTTCAATAATAACAAAAAATAGTGTATTGTTAACTGATGAACGACAATATCAATTAATAAAAGATGTTTCTAATGCTAAATTGAAAACCAAAAAAAAAAAGCCACGTGACTTAAATTATTAATTTTTATGTACGCATATATTCTGTAATAATTGGTATTTCTTAGTAAATATATTTTTGTACTAATAAAATAAATTATCTGGTTAATTTTTTTAGAATCATTATAATAAAAAATAAATCGATTTTCCTATTCAGCATATTGCAAATATTTTGTTCGTCATTTTATAAAATGTCTAGTTATTTTACAAAATACTTAGGAAATGGAAGTAAAGATGTAAATATTATATATTTCTTTTAAAATTACATAAAATTCCTTAAATAAAATACTATTATTATACACAATGCCGCAAACATATACACTGTTTAAATAATACTACTTTGTCATGAAAACAATACTAGTATATCTACTTATACGGCAAATTAAAAAATAATTAATTATATTAGATATTAAATGTATAACATTATACAATATATGGATATATTCAACCTATGTATAATGTATCTTGAAAGCCATAAAAACTACATTGTGTTTTAAAAGATATAGGGATTTAAAAGGTCTGTGGAAACCGGTAATGGTGGTTGATGGATTTTATGAATTCAAATACCATCGTTTTAACTTATTTTTTCAGTCTTTGTTAACATATTAAGATTTAAAAAAATTGACCAGCAAAATATGTTAACAATAAAAAAAATTCACGTTTATTGTTAAGGACTACGGTCGTAAATAGCTCTAAGTACCTTTATGTTACTTCTCATTTGACATTAGTTGGCTTTCATTAAAAACCAATAAATATGTACCTACTGCGGTTTTTTCATTGAAAGATATTTTCAATACGAAAATGAACCACCTACCTAAATAAAAGTGAAATGCATAATAGTTCCATAATCCGAGCTCGGCATACCTTACGGTCGAATATTACTACTTAAAAGATAATAGAGGTTTGGGCAATGTTGTTAAATACAGATGTCACAGGCGAACATTTTTCATAGTGTGTGTGTATTATTTTTTAGCCATAAGATTTAAGTAACATTTTCAGGTCAGAACATGTCTATTATTGTCGATCCATCCACTGGTGGTTCGTTCGTGAGTAATCACGCGTCGAAAATGTCCGTTTAAACACGTTATTGTTGTTTTTTAAATGAATACCGCGCGCACAAACACACACACACACACACACACGAATATATGTATACACGCGTGCGCTGCCGTGCTTTATGGAGTGGTGGCGCCTAAGTCGGTCGAGGTGGCGTATACGTACACGCAGTAAGAGCCGAGTAGGCGCACGTAGGACGAACGCAATTGGTGCGCGTTGGCGAAACTGGTCTGTACAGATGTGTACTAATATTATACCGGATATATTTATAGATATGAGCGTGTGCGTAAAGTGCAACTTACGCAGTTATTTTACCCCTGTAAACATCATTCTAAACCAAGCGATCGAATGTAGGAAATGCAGCCAAGGAGTTTCACATTATAGAAATCGTACGCCACCACCCTATTCCGTCATAGGCAGTAGGTATAAATTAAAAAAAAAAGGGTTATGAACGCATACACGTATATACATCGCCCACCCTCGTATTATGTGTTTATACCACACACACACACACACACACACACAGAAGCAAATCAATCAAAACGCTTATTGGATCGATTTGTCGGAGCAGCAGCCAAGGTAAGGGCCGATATAGGTAATGCTGCGGCAGCAGTCAGGATAAGACTTTTCGATGGAGTGAAAGAACGGGGGAGAGAGTAAAATAGGAAAAGCAATAAAAATAAAACGAAACCGTTCAAACGATTATTATTGGGATACGTGTACACGTATAAGACGGGCGACCGGCTGGAGGATTTTGTAGCTTGGACCGGCCACAGATCGGTATCTCGTCCAGACCGCTAATGACGCCATACGCGCGCGTTTAGATAATCTTATTATTGTTATAACATGTGTGTGCGCGTGTGTGTACGAGTGAACGTGTATACACGACGCTACGCATCACCACACACTCACAGGTTCTCGAACCCAACGAATCTTTATTAGCGCCGCCGTCAAGACCACCTACACCACCGACGATGCGCGCGGTAATATATATATACAAGGATGGCCGTGTGTCACCTTCGAGATGGGCAATTAATAATCCGATTTCGATTAATACGCCCGCGCGCCGGTGCAGTCGAGGGGTCGCTTCGTCGTGGTCGCGCGGTCGCGGTCGTGGTCGTTTTGTTGTTACCCATTAAACTGAAAAACGCATACCTTAATACATCGACGGTCGTAATATTTCGACGGAAAGAATGAAAGGCGGACGCACAATAAGAAAACGGACAAACACGGAAAGAACCGAATGACGACGAGCGTGAAAAATAAAGAGACATAATCAGACTCGAAATCGAATCGTGCGTGTACGACGAGGAAGGGGTGACGAGAGGAGCCGGGGACCGCGAGGATTTCAGGGCCTGTAATCTCGACTGGGACGGCAGCATCATCATCAGCAGCAGCTTCATTCCGCCGCCGCCGACCGGAAATATGCCCAGACGCCGGCACTCTGGCAGCGTGTCAACATACCGCGACGTCTAGTGCCTAGCCCTCTGGCCGTGAACGCCGCCGCGTCTAGCCCACGCGGCCGCCAACTTTAGCCCACATTGTCGTCGTCGCCGCCGCGTACACGATATATGCATACGGCGACGACACGACGACGACGCCCGTTTCCAATTTCTTCTCTCCTCCGGCCGAACACTAACAACTACCGCAACTACTCGCCACGTAACCCATCGACGTTTTCACAGCCGACCCTGACTTTCCGTCGCGACCGCGATGACGCGGACCAATAGGCGAGAAACGCACTGTGTGAACGCGAGAATATTGTAACGCAAAACACCGAGAAACCTGAACAAAATGGAAACTTTTCTATTCGTCCCTACGACTGCGATAAATGCAATTGTATTGCGAACCAGTCGCGTAGATTTGCTCGCAAAGCTGGTGACAATATTTTCGACATAACTACATAACATATACCATACGCAAAGCGCTCGCGATCAAATATGGATGTTTTATACTAAGCTCGTCGCACATCTCCGGCATGCAATACACGGGTGCCTATCAACGCGATCAACGCGCATCGGATGACACGTTGTTGTACCTTATGAAATACAGTCATCGCATGTGTACTTACGTGTGGTTGACGAAAGACATACAGAGACTAGCAGGAGGAGGTTGAACATGGTAAACGTGGCGGCGCGGTGCAGGCTTTGTGACGACCTGCCGCCGCCTTGCCGCCTCACTGCTTCTTCGGATTCCGCTGCGCGTCTCCGACCTGAAAGCCAAAAACACGATTAATTCGTTACAATAATAATTTAATACAAGCTCTCTATATGTGTGTATTCTATTTTCACAATATTCGGATTACATTAAACGATTGTGCATTGCGAGCATACTCAATTGACTCACACTTGTATTATATTATACAAAGGTAAACTGAAGTCGACTACCGGCAAAACACCACGGAGATAACGAGGTCGCGAGATATCGTATACGGCGCGATTATAGTACCTGTAACACGTAGCGTACGCGCGCAGAATTAACGGAAAAACGACAATAAAAGTCACGCGGTGTTGCTACTAGTGCGGCCGTCGGCGATGTTTTTAAAAGGTACGTCGAATTAAGCAAGTGAAGATAATTGAGGTGCCCACCGCCACCGTTGCTTTGGATTACACCACACTTCCTTTTTGTGCTCATTGTCAGTGAAAGTATATAATACTAAACATTGGGTTTTTATCGGACACGTCACGCTCGTAAATGATTATCACAGTTTGTAAGTTATATTAAATTATAATTTAAACACCGTCGCTGCCGACAACGCATTATCGATACGCATTTTTTCCGTTTCTCGAGGGGATTTAATTTTTTTTTTTTGTTATTACAATATTTTTCTTCTTTTCATTACAATAGTTATTTTCTTTTGGTCGCACGACGAACGTGAACTATCACTCAAATAATGCATTGCAGCACCACCTGCACACACTCGCATGGTTTTCACGAATTTTCTGGGTCGGTAACACGTTGGCGGCCGCGACGACGACGACGAAAACACACGTCGTTATTTGTTGTAATATGGGTTATGAGCGAGGAAAGGAATCCGGCATGAAATTCGCGCGCGCACTCGTTCCGGTTTGCCCTCCCGTTTCGTACCGATATTATTACGCTAGGCGGTCTGCTGCAAGCGTATATTACTATTATTATTATCATTATTAATATTATTATTATGTGCTCGTGTGTGTATATACGAGCCCGGCAGACGGACAGGCACATGATTACAATCGGGTCACAACAAGTCTACGTCCGCCGCCGATCGTGTGCGAGAGTATGTGTATACATATTATCTGTGTGTTTTGGCGGTATACCTATAGCAGTGGTGTTTGATTTCTCTCGCCGCATCTCTTTCTATACGATTCTCTCGCTTTCACTCTGTTTCCCTCTCTAGACGTATATTATTATTCTATAATATGCGTCCGCTTGCCCCTACGACACGTCATGTCTCACCAAGGCTGTTGTTATAATTATTATCGATTATTGTTGCTGTTACCGATTCCGAGATCGGGGATTTAGAGCGATAGCGTGTAATAATAATAATGCGTTCTAGGACTGCGAGAGAAGATTTGTCATCGACAACACGCGTTTGTCAGGGCCCGTGGCGTACACATGATATTGATAGGCAGACAAAAAAACACGGAGTCGACTTCCTTTTGTTTCTTTTTTACCCCACACAGCAGCGGCTGTTACGGCCGTGTTTGTACGGATTCGTCGTACGGAAAAATAACGCGTGGTTATATCGCGCGCGCACAGCACACGTATAAATAACACCAGTATAAATATATGCGCGCGCGGCGCACACGCACGCACGCAATATCGAAGATGAAAAATGGTGACGGACACGACAGCTGTCTTGCGTGGGAAATTAAATACCTAAGGAAAGGAAGGTTAATTGACCCTGGCCAAAGGTGCAACGAACCCCCACCTCCACGGCTGCCGCGCGGGCACCGCAAAGACCCGCTGTATACATATCGTGCACGGCGAATAATTTTTTTGGCGGACCTGTCGCCCGACTCCGGAGCACCGCTGGGCATATTGTTCCCTCGCCGCGCGCACCAACACGATAATCGTGATAACGACACGGTCCGGTTGACAATTTCAGTAGTGCACGGTGAGCAATGGTGTGCTGCCGAGTTCATCTTTTGCTCGGTGTTTAGTTGCAGTTGTACTTTTTTTTTTTTTCCTTTTTTATAATAATACAGATGTATTTATGTATACCTATATAATTGTATACACATATTTTTTATATTTATTTATTTTTGGTTCTCCATCCGTGACGCTGCCACCGATGGACCTGCCGACGGTGCGGTTCTTCCCCACACCCCACCCCCACAGTTGGCATTCATAGTTTGGTTTAAAACATAAAAACGGCGCGAGTGAGAGAACACAGAAGTCATATATATATATATATATATATATTCACAATCTGACGACAATGATGAAACAAAAAGGACCGTTTTTTTTTTTTTTTACCAAAAACTAGAAGAGGTCAATAGTCTTTATTAAACGTTTAAAAGTGCTGTCATTATTTAATTTGGAAACACTAACGTTTACATTCGTTTAGCGCGCACCCGTACTTGAAATATGCATACGGTGAAAATATGTCATAAATGAAAACTAATAACTCTCTCGTTTGCACCATTGATTGGCTGCGTTGGAGGTCCGTTGACCTTGAACCCGTTCCGCCAAAGAGTCTTCCTTTAACAAAATTTCCTATTTAATCGCCGTGTCCGTTGTAAAGCTGTTTAACGTTGCCATTTTTTTTTCTCTTCAAAAATATCGCTCTCTCCCTCATTTACAAACTTTACCGATCAACAGGTCATTAAATACAAAAAACATAATAAAATAATATATTGCGCAATTATCTTCTTTTGCGATGTACACATCGCACACACATCCTACATTCACATCCGATTATTCAATTATAAATCTATACACTTGTTTAAACAAATTTTTTAATTAATATTTATAAAAACAAGAGGAACAGTTTATACCAGCACAATATCTATTGTCAAAAAATGCATTTTAAATCGACAGTATGTAATCGGAAATCGCGAGAATACGTGCTCAGCTGTTGATTAAGCATGTAAAGCTCTCATTGTCAAAACATTTCGTGTACCGGATGCTTCACATAAAACCTAAGTGCGACAGTGACAATGAATCTTCTTGATGAATCATACCAGACAATAAAATAAACGTTTATTAATTGTTCTTGTATTTTTATATATTTGTACGATTATCCATTTAAGATTTACATATTGAATACAATTTTAAAAATATCTATAAATCCAGTATTAATTTTGAATACTAGCAATAGTTTCATAAGCATTTAACATTCACTTCCGTAAACCATGTAAGTTGTATACAATCGCCAATTGTTTAGTCAGGACCGTATTCAATATTTTACCGCTCAGGCACAACAACATTTTTACGATTCTCTTCTGAAAAGTGCAAAACTGAAAACAATGTCTTCAACTATTCATTCAAAACCCACTCGGTATGCTCGCAAATCATTTTTCCCATTTCAGTATACTATTACATATTTGAAATTAATAGAAAATCCGAAATTATAACTGAGTTTTACAATGTAAAATAAATTTACGATATAAATTTAATATTTCAGGGAAGCTACTGCCTCTCCGAACCACTCCTTAAATACGACTCTGCGTTTAGTATAATTTTCTTCTTATCAGACCATTTCATAAAATAAAATATTTATTTCCATTACTACAAAAGTATTACATAAGGTAGATCTATGTACAAAATATCCTATTTAAATATTTTAAAGAGATTAAATCAAACGCATTTTTATACATTAGGTTTTATAAAATTAATTACGATGTTAAGTTGTAATTAGATTTATTCAATTACAAACTTTCTAAAATTTAAAATGATTTAATTTCAAGAACTTTACACATCAAAATTGAGACTAACAATTCGTATACTTTAATTTTATAGAATATTATATAACCTAAGACACATCAAGACAAAACATAAAAATGACACATAGCTACAGTACTTATCTTCAAAAAAATGTAATGATAAACCTTGGTATGTGAAAAATATACGAACTTAATTCTATATTAAATTACAGTTAATCATATGCAACTCGTGCATTTTGGATGTACGGACCACTAATGTATTACGAAGAGGCAAATAGTAGTACTTTCTCCAGGAATAATAAAACGTCTAGCAATGCGGAAACCAGCCAGTGAATCGTGTATGTGTGTGAATCGTCTATGTGCTTATGTATGTGTGTGCCAACGTAAATTTTTAAAGCATCAGAATATTTTTGTACAAATGTCTATTGTTTTAGGCCCTTTAAAAAATAAAAAATACAACCAACCCTTCCAGCATAAAATTTCCGGTCAAATTAGCCCCGTTCACATTGAAGTCGTTTGTTTGATTTCGGCGGTTCATTTATTATTTTCGGTTATCATTGTTTTGCCCCTTGACACAGCATCACCCCATTACTTTATAATAATATTAACCAATAGCAGTGGCTGGTATATTTCACTGGCATTGCTTAATATTAAATACTTCAATGAACAAATAATCCCAATCGAATGCAGGCAATAAGCAATTTCGGTAAAATACATTTTATTTTATTGAGACGAGGAATATTGATAATTGCATTTCATAAAAATAAATACACTATCGGTAATTATGCGTGATCTATTATTATTATGTAGATTAATTGGGACGGTTTTAGAAAATTCAATGAAAACAACATTATTTTGTAGATACTAAAACAAAATATTTCTGAGAGTAATAATATCAATATATTAAAAAAAAAATTCACATATTAGATGAAACACATAAACACATGCACTAATCTTTCATTATCAAACTAATTAATTTTACTCGCGGCAGCGTGTTTATCAAAAAAAAAAAATGTATGTGATTACCTGAATGCCTGGCAAGAAATAAATAAAAGCCAGAAAACACCGTAGACCAACAGGAGCCTTGTGGCATATTACAGTCTGTTTCGTTTTCGATTTGTTCTACTATCATTTTTCAAATTCTCGTCTTCTCGACTTTTACACTTTGGTTTCTTGGAGTCCTTTTCGACGCTCAGGAATCGAGTCCCGTGATCGTAACAACGAGTGTTAACATCGTTTCAGACATAATTACATCGTTACCGACAAACACGCGCCACCTCACGCACTACATCACTTTTTACACCGAAAATTATGTTTTCGAAAACAAAAAGAACACGTAAATGTAAATATGCGTATATTTTATTGTTGTAGCAATATTTCAATAAAATGAAATCGAAAAAAAAATATAGATTTTAAAAAAAAAAACACGCACAGAACTCGCGAAGAACGATTAAAATTAAAAAAAAAAATCCACCCACTGTACACTGATTAAAACGGTGAACAGGCGGAAAAACGGTTTTTATAAAAATTACGATTAAAAGGAAAAATTCGCGTTATACAATTCATTTAAAAGCGCACGCCGAACCGTCGGCGAACCGCGGAAAACTGGGTTTTCAAAAATAACTCGTATCGGTCACACGACGAACTTGACGAATCGGGTTTTTCACTCGGGCGTGTGCGCGTGATAACGACAAAACCCATATAGAGCCGATTACAATATTATTATAATAAACACATGAAACGTTACCGGCGCACGTGTGTGTGTAAGTGTATACGTAGATTTGTGTGTATATGTGTGTGCGTTTGCGTGAGTTTACTAGTGTGTACGCGAACGAGCGTTGTTACGAATACTGGTGTACGAGTGTGAGAAAAAACGATAATAAAATTTTAAATAAAATAATATATTATAGTAATATTGTACACGACACCTGAACCAGATAAGATTACGCGCGTACAGAGAGACGACGCACAGCCGACCGAGCAACGAACCTTCGACTGACGTGCGTGCGTGTGTGTGTACAGTCGTGTGTACAGGAGGGACAGTGCCGCCGCTACCGCCGCCAGCCGTCGGGCCAACCGGCTCACGACGGCCGACGACCGTACCCGAACCGGATACGCGCTGCCGGGCCATGCCTCGGCGTACTACCCGTGCGCCACGCCGGTGGTGGTATACGCATAGGTACGCGTGCACATAAATCAACCCTTCGGGAATGCATTCGTACGCGAATCGCCGGTGAATAATTATAATTCGAAAAAAAAAAAATAATACGTTCTCCGGTATGTGTGCACGCAATTTTTTTTTCTTTTTTTTTTTTAGAATAAATACGCTGTTCGGGGGCCGTTCAGCCACGAAACTGTTTTACTCCCGCGCCGGCAATATACGCGTGAGCCAATATAGTAGTACCTATATGCTTACCGACTGACCGACTGGTGTGAAGTATTGTAATAAATTAAATCATTATAATATCATAACACGATTGATTGGTTGATTTTTTTTTTTCTTTAGTACAATTATATCTATTCATTTTGCGATATACCTAATTAAATGTATACATATATTTGTATTTATAAATATATAATCATAAATATTATAGTAATTTAATCTACGTGATGACTTGATAACATAGTTTCGTTTTAAGAGTTCACGTTGTTAATTTGCACGCACGCGCGCGTGCACGCTCCGATAAACAATGATTAGACGTATCGAATTTAACTAAATCATAATTAATTTCTGTTGTCATTACGTGTACGATATTATTAAAATGGTAGTATGTTAAAGTTGTTGATAAGTGCGTGAGGGGAATAAAACACGAAATGGCACTAAGGAAAACGTGTAAAAATTAAATACGGAACTCGATTAGAATCGCCCGCCGGCGGCCTAGTGAGATGATCGGGCGATTAACTTGTTTAGATCAGTAATTACGATATCATTCTCAATAAACTTAATATAAGTGGTCACTAGGATGGGTGATTGTCTAGAATTTTAATTTTTCACTACGCCTTTCGAATACAATTAATGAGCACAGTTTATGAGAATTACATAAAATGATAAAATTATAATAAACACATTTAATAATAATCACGTATCCAAAATCAGTAAAAATAAAGAAAAAATAATGAAAAATACGCCAAAATATAATCTTTTTTAAAATTTAGAGGCACAAAACATCAATGGTATGAATTCATATAATTAGGTGTTTAATTAAATTTGGTATACATATGAACAAGACAATTAATGATATCAATTACTCAGTACTTTCACTGAAAGAGAAATCCATATTGACTTATAATTAATGAGTCAATTTAGATGACAACCTTTTATATTAATCAATGATATTCTATTAATTTAAAAACTCATAATTTTTCTCGCTTTAAAAGTAATTAAATTATACAACCCTAAAAAAATTAAATTTCATAAATTAAAATTAAAAATAAATTTTAAATAAATAAAATAAATTGGATCACCTCCTTTATCTGTATCCATGTATTTTACATTAGGGTACATTAAATAGTTTAAAATTTATCACACACAACACTTTATAATTTACATTTAAAAAATTACCACAATAAAAAATATGTATCATAGAAAGAAACATTCGTAACTGTTGTTAATCGGAAACTGAACTGATTTCTTTTTTTTTAGAATTTTTCCTAACGTCCTGCGCATTTTGACATCCCACCACACGGTTTACACGATTCGATAAAAAAAAACTAACAAATATGCGACCGAAGACCATGGTTTGTGGGTTTCGTAAATAAACGTCCTTCACAGCTTGACCACCACATTCATCCCTAATGACATGTGGGATACCTACATCAGCGTTGAAACTATTTGCAACATACACTATAAAATAATATATATACTATTAAAGTTAATCGACTATTATATAATAATTCCAGAATATCACGAAGACAAATTAAACATTTTCCACTGTAATACTTAACGTGATTGAGAATAAACTATAAATATGTCATTTGTATGAATTATTCGATGACTGGCCGACTTATTTGAAAACAAGTTACAAGTCAATAACTACAACAATAACAATACTATACTAAATCCACATATAATGTATAAATTGTTAAGCCAAAAAAAATAAAGGTAGAAAAAAAAAAGATAGCTTATATTTCACAATGAAGTATCAACATATTCTGTAATGTCACAAGAATTACAATCGGAGGTATTTATGTGATAAATAAAAAACCCCAAGTATTGCAATGACAATAAACAAGAAGCATTTTGCACCTATACATGGTCAAATTAAAAAATCCTACCGATTTTGCTAACAATAAAAGTGGAAATAGTTTCTTGAAATTATTGTTAAATTTTTTTTTGTGTTCAAGCCCCATGTCAATAATACCGTTTTGTATTCACGATCTAATGATCCAGACACAGCATCTGCTTTTTTTTTCTATCGTCTGGACACGCATCGTCTGAAATCGGACTATTATAGAAATCCCGTCCGCGCGGCAATATTATTAAACACCAGTGTTCACTCTAGTGAGTAGTTTCATCAATTATTGTGCCTGAAGTCTTGTATAATATTATGGTAGTAGTTCATACTAAAGCACCATGTGTGATTATTGAAACATAACGAAATTTCATGTATGAGCGAACTCGTGGTTAAAGCAAAGCAAATTAATATTACTGACTCATAGAGGCATTATTGAACATGAATACTACGTATGCATGATATTTTTATCAAAAGAAATCGTTTTATCATATTATTATATATTAAAAAAAAGTACAGTTAACTAGTGTTTTCTATTAAGTCACTAACTAATTTTTTTTTAGCTTTAATATATATATATATATATATATATATATATAACTAAACATTATCAAAGAAAACAAAGGGACATTAATGTTTATGATTGTTGTATATGAACAACATTTTGTTATATTGGATAAACATTATTATTTCAATAAAATATCGATTTTATACTGTTTTAGTAAAATAACTATTCAAATATTCGATAGAAATGAACGTTATTCTTTAAATGATATAATATTTACGTATTTTCTAAACATAAATTTTAATCTGAATCAAATATTAATATCTTCAATTTTAGTAACTATAAAATGTAAACTATTCAGTTTCGTTGCAATTTTATGAATGTTTTATGAAAGTTTGGTAACACTGTACAAATAAATAAATAAATATTTGATGTATATGTGCATGCGTCATTTAACTTTACTAGCTCCCACGTTAACAACGTAAAGAATCTACATGCCCGAATTGCGACACTTAATAATACTTATGTGTCATATAGATTTTGTTAAAGTGATAATTTCCGGAGAGAGAAAGAAGTTTATGCGCCACTTGTGTATGTCTATCCGAATAATTTTACCAAGTACTCGATAATCATTGGTTATTGCATAAGTAGATGTCAACAACGTTAATTCTTATATCAATAATTCAATTCTACTAAAGCTGACAAGTCGGCGGCGTACTAAATTATATCTTACATTCAAACAAGATTAACGGCGATAGAGTTTACAATTATTAAATCGGCTCACCTCTCAATGAAAAAAACTTAAAGGCTGAAAGTGGTTTTATATAAACAGCCGTTTGACTAATATTTATATGGCTGCATTTCAATTAACATCCCTGGTAAAAAGATCGATTTCATCATAAACACGTGTTTAATAAAATCGAAACATCATCGATCCGTTCAAATAAATTAAATTATAAAAAAAATATTCATACATACGCTTATTAAACAATATAATACAGAAACAATTAAAAGTTGGTAAGAAAGGTTTTTTTTTGTAAGTACCTAGTATTTTCGCCGCTACAGCTCTAAGACATTTTATTCGTGAGCTTGTCTAGACACAGCGCGCGCGCTATGCTATGTATTGATACCATTCCAAATTCGTCTGCATTACGAAACTCTGAATTGTTTATGGGCCGTCTTATATAATATTTTATGAGAATTCGCTGAAGCCCGAAAGGACTAACCTTACCCAACGGAAAACGGCTCATGATTCGGGAGACATTGGCGCCATTTGAACGACCGTAGACTTACATTTATGTATAAGAGAAAAACTTTTGTGGATAAGATACCACAAAATACGTGCGAGGGGAAAGGCCGGACAAAAATAGAAATAAAAAATAAAATAAATAGTCTCCGAAAATGTATAAGGTTTTATTGCTTTAGCTGGCTTTTAACAATACATCGGCATGGTTTTCATATATTGGTTAGTAAAAGATTTCGGACTAGAGGCACACTATAATCCAGTGATATATAACAGGAAAAGTGCAGGAAAAACTGCTACATCCAATAATAATTTTAAATAATATATTTACAATCATAGGAATATCTCTAAATTAAATTACACATCAAATTTCTTGACACAAATATTATTTTTTTTCTATAAAAATGAAA